CTTATTCATTCATTCATTCATTCATTCATTCATTCATTCATTCATTTTACTTATACTGCCTTACCTCAGGAAAGCAGAACAAAGAGACAGCTATTTTGTTGACTAACCAAAATCTGAACCTCATTAGAATGATCTCTTCATTGAGCCAACCAAAACAAAAAGAGAAAGAGGGAGAGGAAAGGAAAGGAAAGGAGAGGAAAGGGACAGAAAGGAAAGAAAAGGAAAGGAGAAGAGACAGGATGATGTGCAAGCTGTCTAGTTCACAAGAACCCTTCATCAGACATAGTGCTGCACATTTGGTTTTGGGGAAAAGGAGACAGACAATCGCATATGGTTAAAAAAGTGCAAGCACATGTGTGAGAGAATAGAAACTTTAAGAAATACCTCACAAATTACATCAGGATTTTTCCTGAGGGCTATAGGCTAGTGATGGGACTTCTATTAACCTTTGAAGGCTTCTTTCATGCTTTGCAGGGCAAAGGTGTTAGCTGAATCCCAGGCACCTCATCATCTCACCTTGAATGTACACCATTTCTTGCTTTCCCTCAGTCACACTCTCAGCGACCCCAAACAAATATTAGCAATATGCTTCTTTAAGTCAGTATGAGTTGAAATGAGCAGTATGATCAATTAAGTCAGTATGAATTGTTGTTTCTGTTATTCTTAAATTTTTGGTACAAAGATCCTTTTATCAAATGAAAGAATGCTGTTCCCCACTGAAAGTGTTTCTGCAGTTTTCAGTCAAATTTTGAAAAATTAATCACAGTTCAAGCAAAGCAGCATAAAATCTCCCAGAGACTTCCAGAATGTTTCTGTGCTTCTTTTCTGAGCAGGATGTAGCTCAGAAAAGTTCCTGAGTTTTGAAAGTTCAGTTTCTACATACCTTCTGTTTTTCAACACATTACTTCAATCTTAGGATGCTTCCCAACTGAGTTATATCCTCAGACAGAACCCTGTTATTATAGGCTGCCTGTGGGGCCTTTCATACTTTCTGTGACTGGAGGCAACCTAACCCTAGTTCTATGTACTTGGGATGTGAAAGGGCTTGCAAACAGTATGGGAAAAGATGGTGTCTACATTTAGCTTAACAGCATACAAGAAACTTCTCAAAGCTTGGCGAGACAAACTCAGGAATTACAAGTTTCCTTTGCCCCAGGATCTTTGCATAAACATTGCCCCCAAAAAGGAAGCCAGCAATTTGCAAATAATTAGTTAATTGCACAGAATTTCTTGAAACCTTAAGTGCCCCTCAGGTAGGGAAACAGCTTATGTTGGAGAAGTTATCTGTTTGTAGAGACATCATAGAAAAGGAATGTGTCTCCACCCAGGGGCATTTGAGGGTTCAGTTAGCATGGTGCAGCAGCAGTGCCAACAGGCTGGACTTAATTAAGTTTTTTTCAAAAGGAAGGAAGGAAAGAAGGAAGATCGCTCTGCATGTCTCATCCTCTGTGGCCCCTATGGAAATGGAATATTGTCCTAGCAGCCCTTGAGAGACTGGGTGCTTGGCCACTATAGACAGGTGAATGTCTTCAAGCTAAACTGGGTCAGGTTCAACAAAGGTTCAACAGGGGACACAGTCCAATGAAGCCATAAAATTAATCGTTGGGGAATTTTTGTCCAGCTCTTTGAGTATGTCACTGGTGACCAGGCTTTAAAATGAAAAATAAAAAATGGTGTGTGTGTGTGGCAAAAAAAAATTGTGATTCTACATTCTGTCCTTCATCAGATGAAGGAGTGAAAATTGGTGGGAAAAGTATCAAGGTGTGGAGATGACACCACCTTACCAGCAGAAAGCAAAAATGACTTGAAACGACTTTTAGTGAAAGTGAAAGAAGAAAGTGCCAAAACAGGACTGCAGTTGAACATTAAGAAGAGCAAAATCCTGACTACAAAAGTACTACGCAATGTTAATGTCAACAATGAAGAAATTGAAATAGTGAAAGATTTTATATACCATGGTTCAATCATGAATCCAAATAGAGATTGAAAACAGAAGACTGAGACTTGAAAGGGCAGCTGTGAAGGAATTAGAAAAGATCATCAAGTGTAAGACCAAGATCATCCACACACTTGTATTCCTGATCACCATATATGGGTGCGAAAACTGGACAGTAAAGAAATCTGACCAAAAAAAAAATTATTCATTCAAAATGTGATGCTGGAGGAGAGTTTTGTGGATATTCTGGACTTCCAGAAAGATGAACGAATGGGTCCTAGAGCAAATCAAGGCTGAATTATCTCTGGTGGCAAAAGTGATGAAATCAAGGCTGTCCTACTTTGGATACACCATGAAAAAGCAAGATTATCTTGAGAAGACAACAGGGGGAAAGCAGTGGGAAAAGAGGAAAGCCAAATACAAGATGGATTGACTTCCTAAAGGAAACCACAGTCTTGAGTTTACATGAGCTGAGCAGGACTGTTGCGGACAGGATATTCTGGAGATCTCTCATTCATAAGGTTGTCATAAGTCAGAGGAGACCTGACAGCACATAACAGCAGCATTTCTGTTGCAATATATTTAACATCAGCTTTCATCACGTATTTTAGCTACCTATTCATATTCATGTGGATTTTTTCAGAAGTCCTAAGGATCCATCATATTGGTGCAACAGAGCCATGCAAAAGGAGCAGAGTGGAAATTAAAACTAATTTACTCACAGAGAATTAGGCACAGTAAGGAAGGAGGCGTTAATTGCCTGCAGACAGCATAGAGATGCAACCATCTGCAAATACTTGAAAGCAAAACATAAAACATTTGTAAGAGACAAATGTTGAACTGGGGGACATATATACTAGGGAGTTCAGGGTAAAGATAAGGCAAAGTAGCATTTTGCGAAAGCACTGCAATTTTCTTTTCTTGTTCTATCATAATGAGTTAATAGCTAAATGACTCTCTAGGATCATCTGAGACATTTGGATAACTGGAAGTTTGGATGACTGAAGATGTTTTTCAGAGGCTTATATTAAGAGGACAGGGAAACTTGTGGCATTTTTAGATGCTAAGAGGAGATCATACAGTGGCCTACAGGAAACATTTTTGCTCACAGAAATCCATGGCACCACATTTTATCCTGATCTCTCCTACCCACTGTTGCCCTTTAAGCTTAAAACTCACAAGTATGAGGGCATCATTGGCACAGTACAGAATACGGTACAAATAACTACTGCAGATAGAAGAACTGGTGAAAACAGAGGAACTCACTAGCAAAAGTGCCAGGAAAGTGCTTCCAGCCCACTATCAGGTACAACTGAATATAGAAAGTTTTGGATAGATGCATAATATTTCACATAGTTACACTCTATTCATTGTCTGTTCTTAACACCACCAGTAGGCCTGCCATTATAAACCTCTGAACAATTTAAGGTCTCCCTTCACACAACTTAGGAATTTAGGCAGCTATTTTGCCTCTTCAGATCCCAGCCTCTATTCATCCTATTCTTATTTTGTCTTTTCTATTTGTGTTCTGTCTCCCAATCGTTCACATACAATGTTTTGTCTAGATTGGTAACGGAAACAGTCACACAGGCACACACATACATGAATTGCCCAGGCACAGAGCATGAAAGCGTCATAAGACTGGATAGAAAATGCAGGAAATACTAGTTTCTTTTAATATATGATTTGACTGTCAGATTCATGCCTGGAAGAAAAATGTTATCATAATAAGAAACATTAATTTCCCTTAAATTGTGATTTGATCTTGAAATATCAGTGAGCTGTGTGGTATAGCTGGCTGAATGGTTGCAACACGCTGGAAAAAGTGATGCTTCTTTTATCCAACGGATCTGAAGCCAGGAAGAGGAGGAGCAATGCAGATCTTCTGCTATTGCCATTCTGTGTTTTGAGGAGGATCTACTTAATGATTTTGGAGAAGGCACTAATAATACTCTATCCCTTCCAATTCCAGTAAGGGGGCAGGGTTTGGAAAAACAAAGAGAGAAGAAGGCAGGGTTTCAGTTCTCCACCAATCCAAATCGAAATGTGAAGGGGGGAAAAAAGGCAGTGGGACAAACTTTGGCTTGGAAAGGTGTCACATTGGCAGTCTCTGAGACAATCCTTTGCCAGTTTGACAAAGTTTTAACAGACACACAGGGCTCCTCCTTTAGCAACTTCTCAATAGTGGAAAAAACAGCAGTATGTTCTTCATCCCATGCATGCTATCAGAAGCAACAAAGCTATTTCCTTTGACATGGCAGACAGCCTGCTCCACAGGACTGTGATACCAATGAGGGCTGTTACGAGTAGCAGTGTTCTTGAGCCCCTTGGAAATGTAAACCAAGGAGGAGTCCAAAATTCTTGGAAGAGCATGGCCGCATTTGTAACCTGTCCTCCTTAAACGAGGAGTGGGCACTTGTGACTCTCCAGTTACAACTCACATCACTTGTAGTTAGCGGAGCCAGCGGGGGAGGGGATAAAGGGAGGTACAGTCCAAAAAAACATCTGGAAGGTCACAGTTGCCCATTGCTACCCTAAAATATGGGCAATAAAGTCGCCACCATTTAGGAACCCTGGCAGAGAACCCCCACCAGCTCCTCCAGCTTCTCTGAAGTGGGATGGGGAGACCAAGTAGGGGGCGAAATCAAGAAAAGCAGCATTGGAAAGACAGGGTGTGTAGATCAGGTTGAGTCCAGGACACTGAAAATAGAGCCACGGACAACAAAAGGTCTCATGTTTGTTCTCGAGAAGAGTTCCCAGTCTTGGGTCCTCAGACATTCTTGGGTGACAACGCCCAGAAATTCTGGGCTGCACAGTTAGTGGTGCAGGCTGCTGGGGTTTTTAGTCCAAGAACATCTGGAGGCTCAAGGTTGGGAACCACCATTCTAGAGCAACCTCATTTTCTTTCCTTTCTAACCTGCTAGGCAGCATTACAGGATGTTAGTATATTAAAGATATAAAATCCATTCAGGATAAAGGAAAAGCAGAGCATCTCCAAAAATATGGGGGTGTGTGGAGGTGGGATTATACAACAAGTTCTTTTCAACCAGAGAACATCACTTACCTTGTCTTACAGCTAATGTTGTGGTGTAGACCAAAAAGAGAAGAATATAGTTCAGGAAGCTCTGAAAGACTGGAGTGTTGGCATGAAAATCATCTGACAAATACTTGCTGGTCAGGCTAATGCCACAGATAAGCAGGGACAGCACCTGCCCAAGGGCTATAGACAGCAGGAGTTCCCTAGAAGAAACAAAGGAGGCAGAGAGATAACAGAATCATCATTACTATGGAGCCAAAAAATCTTCCCTAATGACATCCAACAATATTTATCTGACAGTAAAACAGACACCATGTGTGGAAAGGATATTTCCTTCCCCTTTAGCTACCCAGACTTCAAAGACTCTTCAGCAGGTCTGGGAACACACAATTGAGACAGAGGGAAGAGGGAGGGGGAAGCCTGTTCTGAAAGCAATCAAATTCAGAAGGAAAGACTCAGTGGAATACAGGATGCAGTCTACCCCGGTGATCTTAGCATACCGACCTGGAGTGTTTCACCAACATACTATTCCATACAAAACTGGAAGTGAGCAACTTATGATGCATACGTGGAACATTTCCACAAGCCTTTGTACAGTGGCCTACAGGAAACATCGTGCGAAAGGTCAAATCTACTTAAATTCAGAATTCCTTTAAGCATCAAAAATGAAATGTGGATCTGCATGCAACAGAGTAACAGTGACATTCTTGGTTGCTTAGAAGTTTCTTTAGCACCTCAGATCTCCTATGTTAGCAAAGAAAACCAAGGGGTAATTTTTCAGTCCAATATGACAGAAAAGCCTCAGTCCAGAAATTATACGTTGGTTATAAAATAAACGCAAAGGGTACATCAGTTTCTCCTCAGTATTTATTATATGCTTCTTATCAGAAAAAGCAAACAGTTTTGCATGTTTTTAATGTAGAATTTTGTCTGTGACACCCCTGTCAGAGGACTCAGAAATGGTTGCCTATGATGCCAAACAATATTATCCAGGTGGTGCGAAAGGTCAAATCTACTTAAATTCAGTCTCAGAATATATACAGCTTTCCAGCTACCTTGATGGATCAGCAGCTATAATGCCTAGTAGACTGGTTTTCACGGTTTATAAAGGACATTCTTCAAAAACACAAGTTCACTGTCTGGAATTCCCAAGAAGGGTTGGGAAAGAACTGTGCTGGAACCTCTGGAGGCCTACAGCCCATCAAGGCAATGTGGGCAAGTGCTATGATAGGGTGTGAATCAGCTTCACTTTCCCAGAGTCTAGTGATCTGAACCTACTGAAATTTGAACATATTATCGAAGTTAGGAAATATAAAATGTACGGACATTAAGAAGCATATAAAAGTTATTGCTGAGATAATTAACACAACACTCTATTATGTTCTCACATTATCTGAATGTTTCATGTCATGTCATGCTCAAGTACACTTAACATCTTATGGATTTCACACACCATTTTCCTTTGTATTGTTCTCTTCTGTTTACAGTACATTATTTTCTCTTCTTCTTCTTTGCTTTTTTGTGCTGTCCACCCTCTGTTCAATTTCAACAGGCTGCACTAATTTTAATTTTCCAGCCCTTTAAAAATTCTCCTTCTGCCTCTCATTTTATGCCAAGGATAGCTTCTTTTAATTAGCTCTGTGTTATTTTTGTCCTCCTTCATCTCTTCGTTTGCCTGTTTTGCCATCCTCCTTCCCACACAAGGCATCATTATATCCCTCCCTTGCCAGTTCTCTTTAAAGCAATAAATAAAGGACTCCAGATAGAGTACAAAAATAACCATCTTAGTGGAGAATGGTTCGCCTGGGAATTCCATTGACTCCCATCTCAAATATTAATATACTGCAAAATCACTTTTTGACAGATCTTCCTCATGCGGACTGTTGTGACTAGAAATCTTCCTGCTGATCCCTGTGTTGGCAGCTAAAGAACATTTTTTTTTGAAAGGACAGCTTTGTAAGCAATCATGTTTTCCCTTTCATATGTACACAATCTCTAGAGCTCTGTGTTAGTTCCAATGATGGAATATAAAGCATAATATGCAAGGGGAAAACTAGGTGGTAACATATGAAATTTCTTTCATGCACTGCTGAACAATCCTGTACAATCTATAAACCGATTTCACCATGTATTTCCTGTTCGTGTCTCATATAATTGATACTCTTCTTGTCCTGTATACTTTGAGTTCTATCCTGCAGTATGCACGTGACTATTGTTCCTTTATTATAGCCTACTTTGCCATTTAACTTCCTGATTTCTGTTTGAATTTAGCCCTCTGTGGGGATTCAGAATAAAAACATCCTTGTGTATGAGTAAGAGCCCTGCCTCGTCTGTGTGAGCATGTATATTGGCTCCACGCAACATGCATTTGAATCATGCCCATCTGGAGAGGACCCTCAATGTATACAAATCCATGCACTTTGGCTGCCCTCTATGCAATATGGAGAGATCCATACATGTGCAGGGCCCTCTCCAGATTGTCATCATGTGTCAAGATGATATGTGGAAAGGGGTCCTAGCCCATTCATGTCTGAGCACATTTTTGTACTGAACTCCTGGACTTCTTAATTTAGCAAAATGGAGCTTACTATGGCCACTGGATTTTTAGAGGTTATTTTAAGGCTGCATATATAATGTCTGGTAATAAGGATCCTATGACCAAAGACACAAAGGCTACATAGGTGTGAGGATGTACATAATCTATGTTTGGGCATCCTGTGGCCCTTGAAATATTGTTGATCTCCAACTCCCATCACCCCTGGCCAATTGCTGTGCTGGCTACTTCTGATGGGAGGTATAGTCAAGCAATGTCTAGAGGGCACACATTCCTACTGCTATGGAGATCTGGCCTCAGGATTTTCAGTGTAAACATTATTTTGCTGGCATTAAATGTTAGAAATTGGGAAGTTAATTTGTTGCTGTTAATGTTGAAAAATGAAACATTTTAACTCATTGAATTCACAATATTAATTTGTTATTTAAATAAAAATAGGGATTTACCAGGTTCTTTAACCGTTGGCCCTAATAGCACATTTAATACCACTATTACTATCAGTATCTTGTTTAAAATATAATATGGAATTGTCTTGATGGATTGCGGGAAACTGGAAAAGACTGAGTCATTCAGGTTGGCACTTAGCCAGGAAAAGTCATGTGATACTTCCGCACCTGTGCAGAGTTCAATATGCTGCATCATTTGGAAGGAATTCTGAGAATTTGCCAGTTCTGAGGTGCTTGTTGTTGTTGTTTAGTTGTTAAATCATATCCAACTCTTCGTGACCCCATGGACCAGAGCACGCCAGGCCCTCCTGTCTTCCACTGTTTTCCATGATCATGTTGGTAGCTTTGATGACACTGTCAAACCATCTTGTCCTTTGTCGTCCCCTTCTCCTCTTGCCTTCACACTTTCCCAACATCAGGGTATTTTCCAGGAAGTCTTTTCTTCTCATGAGATGACCAAAGTATTGGAGCTTCAGCTTCAGGATTTGTCCTTCCACTGAGCGCTCAGGGTTGAGTTCCTTCAAAATGGATAGGTTTGTTTTCTTTGCAGTCCAGGGGACTCTCAAGAGTCTCCTCCAGCACAACAATTCAAAAGCATCAATTCTTCGGCGGTCAGCCTTCTTTCTGGTCCAGTTCTCACTTCCATACATCACTACTGGAAAAGCCATAGCTTTGACTATGCGGAGCTTTGTTGGCAAGGTGATGTCTCTGCTTTTTAAGATGCTGTTTAGGTTTGTCATTTCTTCCCTCCCAAGAAGCAGGCGTCTTTTAATTTCATGGCTGCTGTCTCCATCTGCAGTGATCATGGAGCCCAAGGAAGTAAAATCTGCCACTGCCTCCATATCTTCCCCTTCTATTTGCCAGGAGGTGATGGGACCAGTGGCTATGATCTTAGTTGTTGTTTTTTTATGTTCAGCTTCAAACCATTTTTTGTGCTCTCCTCTTTCACCCTCATTAAGAGGTTCTTTAATTCCTCCTCACTTTCTGCCATCAGAGTGGTATCATCTGCATATCTGAGGTTCAATGGTTTAGGCATCTGGCTGCAGAGCTGGAGTTTGAGAGTTTGGTTCCCGGTTGGGTCTTCTTGACAGGGGTTGGATTAAGTGATCCATGGGATCCCTCCCAGCTCTGCAGTTCTAATATTAAAGTGATGATGATTCACTCATCGTCATTATCTTAGGTTATGTCTTCAGCACTTTTCAAAAATTAGGGATATGTAATCTCAAAGATATCCCGTGCCTGACCACAACTGCAACATAAATGTAAAATCCTCAAAATTGGCCTGTAATGTATCTGATGGCAAGCTTTGCAATTGCACGATGGCCCTCTCACCAGCTCTCCAAAACTGGCTAACTTCAGAGGGTAAACACATAACAGAGAAGGCACATAATGCGCAAACAATACCAAAACCAAACCTTTCACATCAAAAGAGTTTCTGATAGTGATGCATGCTTTACAACCTTGTATCTATTCAATTAATATTGAGTAAAAAACATTAGGTAAAATTAAATTTACTGAGTGCTAAAGATAAGCCTGGATCACCCAATAAGAAAAGGCATTCTACTGCAGAGACTAGTTTAAAAAGCTGTGGTTCCACTTTATTGGTTTCCCCTTAGGCTTCAAGATAAATCTTTTCCTTGCTCACTGGCTTCCAGTGCAGTGAGACAATGTGACAGCTTTTGACAGCATGGTAAATTTATTACAGACTTGACACATGTTGATGGAACAGACTAGGTAAAAGGGGAAAAAACACAAGGGCACTGATCTCATTTATCTGCTTTTAATAGAGTTTTAAATTGCAAGGTGTCTGAATTAATTTATTCTTAATAGAAATAAAAAGTTCAACATGAATTGTAGGAGGGTACCTACTTTCAAAAGAGTGAGCACAACCAAGCTCCCATCTGAGAAACCATTCTCCAACATCACATATTCCGATGCCTCAAATTCAGGAAGAGATGGAAAAGGGAACTGACCTACCACAAACGTAACCCCCTTACGAAAGAGAAGATGGTGCTATAAGAGTAAACCAAGTCCAGTCTCTTGCATGGGATATGTGAAAATCCATATGAATTTCATATGGGATATTTGGGATCATAGTTTGTTCAATGCAGAGAGGTTGTTAGGCCTCCTGAAGTGGTTTCATTATTGGGTTTGATCTTTAACCTTCTTCACAGGTTAGGATCACAACATTTTCACTGCTGCA